TTTCTTGAGTTATAAAGATGTTGTAAAAAGAAACTGGATGAAATAACATTTATAACATTGAGCTGAGTTTAAAAAATGAATTGAAAATGTGGATTTTATTGCAGGTCTTTAGATATTTATTCATATGAGTAATTATTTTGTCTTTTTTATTTAGGGGCTGCACAGACGTTATTAGGGGGAGAGAGGAGGGCGGATAAAGGGGAGCGTATTGCAAATATTATTTTGGCTGAAGAGTAAAAATAAAATAAAAAAGTAATATTTTACTTAATTTTAGTTGGAATATTGGAAGATTAAACAAGTTGGACTGATTTAACACTGTAATATTGATTTAATATGTTCATGTTAGAGGCATTACTCCCAGGATGGTACCATCACTTCAGTCCAAACTGAAATATCTCAAGAACTATTTGATGGACTGACATTAAGTTTCGTAAAGACATTCGTGGTCCCCAGAAGATGAATCCTACAGACTTTGGTGATCCCCTGACTTCTTTTAGTGCCACAAGCAGATCAAATCTTCCACTTATCCAGGGAAATATCTCACAATCTACTGGATGGATTGGCACGAAAATTGGTACAGACATTTGTGGTTCCTAGAAGATTAATCCTACTGACTTTGGTGATCCTCTGATGTTCCTCTGTTGTCACCATGTAGTTGGCAACTATTGGAGGGATTGAAATTGCTTTAGTTACCCTGACTTTTCATCTAGATGGTAAACATGGTAAACTTAATGCGAATAAAAGAAAGCATTAATAACTCGGGAAGGGGTTATTTCTCCTCCTCACCACCACAATCATCTTCACACAGTCCCTTATTTTAATATTGAACATTTTGGGCTTCCATACAAGTCAAGGTGAAAAGGTTTTATCTGCCCTTTGCAGTCATGAGGTGGATTTTGAGGGCCACAGTCAGCAGTGTCTGTTAGTGGTAATGCACTCGTCCAATAGTCCCCGTCCCTGTGACCAGGATGTCCGGTTGTCCATTCCTCCAGATCTCCCTGACGATCCGTTCCCTCTCCTCCAGACGTCGGGCCTTCTCCAGCTCCTCTGCGGAGGCGAACACGTTTACGCTCCTCAGAGTGCCGTTGGACTGGCTGCTGCGGTCGCTGCTCAGGGGCCCCATTGTCACTTTAGGGATCTCCGCCTCCTCCCTGTCTTCCTCCGCAATGCTCTCCTCCTCCTCATCCTCCTCCTCTTCCTCGCTGGACTCCTTCAGTTGTCTCCTCTCGGGGGAAGGGGGAGGCCTCCTGCTGGGGCGGCGAGTCCTGCAGGCGACACCCACCACCATGAGGCACAGCGCCATGAGCAGGCCGAAACAGACGCCCATCATGAAGTAGAGGGCGAAGCTCTCTGGATTGGCTGTGTGGGTTTAATAGAGGGATTAAAATGACCTCACAGGTCACAGAGACACAGTAAACAGGAGTGAAAGTAATTAAATAATTATAAAATATATATTTATGCTTCTTTATACTTATACTTCTCTACATTTCAGAGGGACATATTGTACTTTTTATGTCACCACATCAATTAACAACTATGATTACTAGTTACTTTTCAGATTAAAACAATAAAATGTCTTGTTTTTGATTACATTTTGTCTTTAAAAAAGCATTGTTGGGAACCTTTATTACATTTAAGATGTCTATGAGTTGTTCTCAGTTCCACCAAAGAGACATTTCCCTTTCAGATTTATCCTGTGACCTTTTGGAATTGGGAACCCCTGAACTAAACTGTTTATAAAGTGGTTAAAAACTAGTTCCATCTTGACCATCTGCAACAGTAACATGCCACATATTGTAATGTTGAACCAGTATTAACTGTCTAATAATGTCATATATAACAATAAACCACTCACGGGGGCCATTTTTCTCCAAAAAATATATTTTGAGTACATTTTGCAGATAATACCTCTGTACGTTTACTACTTCTTATACTATAAGGAGTTTTCTATATAGAAAATTTTTGCTACCAGGTCAGATTCCCCTTGAAATCAATGAAACGAGGCGGTAGAAACACTACCACTTTTGTCTACAGGGGGTGCCAGAATCAACACAAAATAAAGTTCCTTTTAGGGGCTTTAAGTGGGATTTTAAATGCAGGACTCCTAATTGTCATTGAGTTTTTACATTAATGTATTGTTACTTATACTTAAGTAAAAGATCTGAATATTTCATAATAAAAACTACATTAAGTGTGAGTGAGTTCGCCTGAGCAGAAACAGAACAAAAACAGCAGATACACAGTCAGAGTACAGCAGTGATGTGAGCCAAAGAAAACAGGACACTGACGCCCCTGGAACCGATTCAGGACAGACAGACACAAGAAAACTCTTCTGTTGAGGATTCTAGCTCCCAATGTTTTCTCAAGGTTCATATTTGTCCAAGTCTGTGGTAATGTCCAGTATAGACAGGAGGAACAATAACAGTGATCAATAACAATAATAGAATATTCCTTTAATTTGAAGCCATCTCAAAGAGAGATATTCACTTTCTCATACAGTTTCATTTTAAAGGAAGAGTTTGCGTATTTTGGCAAATACACTAGCTGAGAGTTAGAGGAGAACAGTACATTTTTGCCATCTTTGGACAGAGCCAGGCTAGC